AGTATTCAAATAGCCTAATTAATTCATGCAATTACTTCTTCAATTTCTTTTAGTGCAATGAACATCAAGTTTACTCTTATTTACATTTCATTCAATTCATTTAAGATCTGTTAACTTTAAATTCACGATATTGGTAAAGTTCTTAGGATTGTCTAAGGCAGATTAGTAATTCATTCCTTAAGAAAGCATTCTTCCCTCTTGTAAATCGTTTGAAGGTGCAGAACTCAATCTTAAAGCAATATTCTTTCAGCCATCCTAACGGAAATCAACCACGTGAAAGAAGATGGTCGTTAGGAAAATCCTCATTTCTTGCTTTTTTTAGAAAGTTAAGTGGCATGCTCGTATCTAAATTTTGCATGTGCAAAATCACTTGAGGATTTTTAAGGAAACAAAATCAAATTATTTTTTTTTTAGTTTAAAAATCAAAAAGGGGTTTTGCACAAAAGTTTTGCGAGCAAAATGAGATTTAAACAATAGTTAATTAGATACGGACAAAAAGGAGCTCCTCCCTCCTACTTTCCATCCTTTCTTCCCCTTTTTCTCTTTTTGATTCTTCGTTTCTTCTTCTTTTTCTCATGATTTTATATTTGATTTTAATCTTTAAGTTTTTTCTAATTAAGGTTCTTGTTTCTCTTTTTAAATTGTCTTATGGGAGAATTTATTTTTTAAAAAATAATTTGTGTGAGTTTTATTATTATTTTATGTCTTCTTAAATAAAAGTTTAGAGCAAGAAATATGATTGGTAAGTTTTGTGTTATTGTGGAATGTTTTTTAATAATGTAAAATTTCAACAATTATCTTTTTATTTTTTGGTTATGTTAGATTATATTAACTTGGTTCATTGTCGAATCAAAACTTGATTCAGTTATAATATCTATATAACTATTAAATTGCTCTATAATTAAATGCTTAACTAAGTGTTTTACATTTTTAAGTTTAGGTTTTCTAATGTCTCTAGTACATTACATCATATGAATTAGCCTATAACTCTTATGTTTTTCTATTATTGATAAATAAATTTATTTCTACTATAAAGAAAAAAAAAAGCATATTAGTTGCTTTTATTCTATTAATATAAAATGCTGAACTTAGCAAAGAATTGGAACATGAATTGCCTAGAATGAATAATGCAAATTTGAATCAAATGAACAATTGTTTGTAATTAATTACATGTTTCATCTTCATTTATTGCTCCTTGATTTAGTTTGCATTTGATCGTTCCTTACTTTTCATTGCCTGGAGTTCCATCCTCCGTGCATTTTGAAGCTGCTAGGGAGGTATCTGAAAGAGGAAATTCATGCGGTAAGAAACAAAAACAACAAACTTTCGTATTCTGAGAAAGATAAATATAACATAATGAGCGCATTTTTCTTCTTAGTGGCACATAGTTAATTGGTAAATATGTAAAATCCAATTTAAACTAATTTCAGGGGTTTTTGATCCTTTGCTTTCTGCTAACAGTTATGGATTCTAGACATGTATGGAACTTGTCGCTGATATGAAATTCCCAACCTGTGAGAGGTGCATTTGTTATTAGCTATGGACTATTTATAACTGTTCTCTTGCTTGCATTATAGAAATTTGGTTGTGGTGGGAGAATGGTCTGTGGCCCCGATCCAGGTTTGCTTTATTTAACTTTGTTTCTAATTGGATGTCCTGCAATAGCATTCCGCATGAAGATGCTCGTGATTTTTAAAGAAGAGAATCCACTTTTTGATTATCCAGTTTTGTTTGGGGGATTGTTACTATCTTGGTTGGTAAAACATAGCTAAATTTCCTGGTATAATTTGAGCTTGTTTTAGTTATCGATTTTATACCTCACTTCTTCTTGATGCTGTTTGCAAGATTTTACATCTCTGTTTATGACATCTACCAGAGATCCAGGAATAATTCCTAGAAATTCACAGTTCCCTAAAGAGGAAGCACTTTCCAGTATCCCATCAATGCATTGATCCAATAATAGAACTCCTTATTTGAAAATACTACGGATGAAGGATGTAATTGTCAATGGGCACACAGTTATAGTTAAGTTTTGTGAAACTTGTTTGCTTTATCGTCCTCCACGAGCTTCACATTGCTCGATCTGTAACAACTGTGTGCAGAGATTTGATCATCACTGTCCATGGGTGGGCCAGTGTATTGGACAAGTAAGTTATCTAGACCTACTGTCAAGCTTTGTTAACATTAACCTACTGTTGATAACAATTCTTCCAATATCCTTTACATCTTTTACTTGTTTGCAGCGCAGCTATGCATCCTTGATTGGTTTTATATCAATATCATCTTTGTTGTGCACGTATGTCTTTGTGTGCTCTTGGTTAAACCTTCTTCGTCGACCGGGCAGTTTGTGGGGTGTTATGCGACGCGATATACTATCAGTTATACTAGTAATATATTGCTTCATTGCCATCTGGTTTGTTGGTGGTCTTACAGTTTTCCATATGTACCTAGTTTGCACCAACCAGGTATTCTTCTTACTGATGTTCAAAGTTTTCATTGTTATGTGTTTGTTAGCTCCGGAACAACTTCTGTTCCATTGAACCTCCATTCTTGTCTTTGTACTTTTAGACGACTTATGAGAATTTCAGATACCGGTATGATAAGATGGAAAATCCCTTTAATAAAGGCATATTAGGGAACTTCGGGGAGCTGTTCTTCTCCAAATTGCCTCCAGCAATGGTCAAATTTCGAGCATGGACTACAGAATATGATGATCAGTCAGTAATTTCCAGTTTTCGAGATTGTGCTGGAGGTTTCATTAGTTCCAAAGAGAAATTTGACATAGAAATGGGTGGCAAGCATGACAAGGATGGCTTAGTCCCTGCACGTATTTTACAGATTATGGATTACTGTGATGCTGATGGTGGTCTGAAGAAGGGTGATGGTTATGATCCATTCTTCCATGCTACTAATCAGGAACCCCAAAATTGACAAAGATTCTCTACTACTGAATGATAGGTCCCAAATGGACTACATTGCTGATCAAAAATTAAGGTAAAGCCCCTACTTCCTTCGGTTTATTATCATTATGTATATAAGCATGTAATTGTTAGTATTTTTAGACGTAAGCATTTGTCATCAAGGGGAATGCTAAAGGCACTCTCTATGACACTCATTTTTGAATACTTTTTATGTGATTAAAACACATGTAATCTAAAGTTAATGTAAATGGTTATAATTTCAAAATTTAAAAATATTAAACTTTAATTTTAATAATTAATCACCAATCATATTAAATTTATGTTCTATGAAACTCGATTACATGGAAAGTGTTCAAAAGAAAATGTTAGAAAGAGTATCCTTAGCATTCTTCTTGTTGTCAATAAACAATGTCAGCAAATCATTGTCATACTAAATATGATTTAGGCGTCGTTCTATGCAGGTTTGATTGGATAATGATGCCATCGGCGCAAGAATGTTGGGTGATAGTTGTTGAATGTTTGATTTGATGAGCTTAGAATGCTATGATGTCA